CCGAAGGTGGAGGGGGCCGTTTGGTGGGCCGCGCCGATTGAGCTACCCATGCAGATCCGCACGCGAGGAGGGAAGGGTCGGCGCCGGCATCAGTGCTGTCGCGACGGGTGACAGGCGGCGACACACCTGAACCGGAGTTGCCGCCCGTATCGTTTCTTGAGCGCTCCAGCGCGATACGGAGCGCCAGCTCGTCCTCATCTCCTGAGCCGCCGTCGGAGCGGCTGTCGGTGCTGGACATGGTCGCAGGAGTTCGGGATTGGACAGGTTGAAGAAAAAGGAACGGAGCGGAGCGAAGTAAAGTGAGCCTAGGATTTGCTTCAGAGCTGGGCCGGACGAACGTGGCGGACGCGCCCCGGGCCTCCTCATATCTGTCCTAGATTTCGGCTGGATATGAGGGGTATTGGCCAGCCCGGACGTTTGAGACCGGTTTGAAGCCCGGTTAGGTCGTATTTTCATGGCCGGTTAGTGACCGGTCCGTCCGCCCGGTCGTTTGAGCGGAGTTTGGGGTGGCCCGGCTATATATGCTCTTATAAAGTAGAAAGATCTAGATCGATAATTCATCCTGGAGCCGGGGCTCAGCTGCTCCCTGTCAGGAAAAAAATTCAAAAAAAATACTAGAAAAATTCAAAAAAATCCATTTTTTTGTGATAGATAAATAGATGCGTGAGGCCCGCTGCAAAAATCAACTCATTTGGACATTTGAGCAAGTCTCGGCAAAAAAGACAAATCGGGTTAAAACAGTTCATGAATAGTAAACTTTTTTAGAGACCCCGGTTTAGTCTTTTTTACACAGACTTGCTCAAATGTCCAAACGAGTTGATCTTTGCAGCGAACCTCACGCATCTAATTATCTATCACATAAAAAAAAGTTTGGAATTTTTTGATTTTTTTATTTGTTTTGATTTTTTTCGTGAGGGGGGTGCAGATGAGTCCAGGTGCAGATTAGCCGCGTCCGATCTAGATTCTTGTTTGTTTCTACGTCGCCTGTAAACAAAATTTTATTTCGCAGCATGGAACATGACACTTGGACAGATGGAGACGAAACCCTCTGTGCAACGTGCTCACGGCGAGGGCACACGTCAGGATGCGGCCACGTCCATGTGTGATGTAGTTCATGGCACACGTGTGGCCATGCACACCGCCGCACAAACTCCTCGTGTCCGCTCGGTCTGGCAGAAGGAAGCTTGCAATTCTTGGATCCGGTGACCGCTGTCGCACGGCCTATACCTGGCAAACCCTGCATGCACCTGGTGGCAGCAGAACATCAGAAATAAGCAGGGAAATTGTCTTCATCTACCTGGGACCTGGGACCTGGGACTTGGCCACAGCAGTAATCTTGGTACTGTGCATTGCTCCGCTTCTAATTCTAAGAAGAAAAGAGCAAGCGAAACAAGGGAGATTCAGTTGATGGTGGAACATTTCCGGAGCTGAAGACGGTGCATTCTCTCCCCTGATCACACAATGATGATCTGAATTCTGAATCCGAGAGTTGCCCACCTGAAGAAACAGCATTCGATTCTCACCTAAAGAAAGAAGAATTCAGAAGGTGGGATCAGGACGCGTAGACGGTTATCACACTGCCAAACTGAACTCGATCTGCAAAGGAGATCGAAGCCAGTGGCTTCAGAGAGATTTTTCTTTGTTTCTTGAAGAGGGATGGCCTGGCATGGTGGATGAGAGCCACTCTGGCTAGCCAAGAAGACCCACCCATGCAACCACACAAACTGCATCCATCACAGGGGCTTCCCAGCCGATGGTGAGATGGATCAGTTAGCAGAGGCATTGCATAGGCAAGTCATTCTTGGCTACCGGATGAAAGGAGGCTCTCCATCTCCATGCAAGGCTTTACCTCCTCTTCTTCTTCTTCTTCTTCTTCTTCTTCACACTTGATATACAATTCCTTGTCTGATATATGTATGATGATGGGTCTCCTTGGGGCTCTGTGTGTACATCCCTGCTGGCTCACACCAGCTGGTATTTATAGTGTGGACATTGGAGGGGGTCGGGACAGGTGGTGCTTGTCACATTTAAGCTGAGTCACGCAATTGGCATCATTCCAAATTTTATTTGTAGCCAAGTGAAATTAATTCTATTTAAGTGATGATTTTGGATTATCGGAACTCCACGCGAGGCCTTTATTTTCACGCGAGTGATGGATGTCCACCATATATTATGTTCAAAACATTACCAAGCATAAGAATTACATTGAGTTGTCTGGACCACCGAACGACCACTACCATCGCAAAAACGAGCCACCGACGCGCCTCTGCCACTGCTCTCCTGTTAGAGTTGGCTCTGACCTTATCGATGGCCGTCAGGAAGTTTCCGTGCACACGCCCCTAGGGACCAACATCCTTGAGCCGCAATCGTTGTTGTCGAACCCTTTAATCCATCGTAAATAATCCATCAGAAGTGCCTGACAACAGATCTCATCGACGCATACTCATCGTCGCGTACATACGACGAGAAACCCTAATCTCGCTACCACAAGGAGACGACAGGAATCTACATCGGAGCTCCGTCGAGCCTGTCCTTCCGGACAGACTCGAGGAGGATCAGATTTAGAAGACCAACTCGAAGATGAAGCATCGTCATCAGTTCAAATGTCACCCCTGCGAGGATTAAAAAACCCTGACCTAATCTGATACCTGAAGCCGTGTAACCGGGATTTCCCTTCCGCCACCTGTCACCGAGGTGGCAGACAGAGGGGAGGCGAATGAACGAGCTGGCCGACGGAACCTGGAGGGTATGAGGTCTTCACCCTAGTTGCCCGTTGAGGGGAAGGAGTTTCGATGGTTAAGTTCCTCCTGGGAGAACTAGCCCACCATGTTAAAGTTGTTTGCATTTTCCAAGATTTATTGTAGGCTCTTAGGCAATGTTCATTAGATGGAAAATGGCGTTCTCATCGACTATAAGGTATTTGTGGTGACTTCATCAATCTCAATCTTTATCCGCTCGGTATCTTGGATGTGCTCATATGGATAGGTCAGTCTTTTCGGTGTGCTCATATGGATAGGAAGTGCATGGGTGCGTCCATAGGTATGCTGGTAAAGAAACTGCACTTTTCATTATGTCCTGTATCACAAATACTATTCCATTGAAAAGTAGATTTTATTCTGTAGATCTTGAAAGTTGACCCCCAAAAATCTTTTTAGATCTCATCCGAAGGGATTGAGATGCCCAATGCTAAGATCGACCAAACCATCTAAACGGCACCTCTCAGAACAGGAAAAGTCTAGCGAATGTCAATGAGCATCCAAGAGTAACAATCACAGCTAGTATATGCTTGACACTGCATGGTACCTACGATCGTTTCCCAACACAGGTATGATAAAGGAATATTGCAATTTTAGGCATCAACTTGTATGTATAGTGCAAATGTAAGGGCCATCAGAAGCAACAATTCTACTGCTTGTAGCGTAAGTTGGAAGAATACATCACAAATTCTATGACAAATAAAACACGAAACATTCATCAAAAGCACGGACCACTCCAGACTCCACAAGCCTTTCCAAACGTCAAATCTATGGCTACAAGAGATAGTAACGCACATCAATAATAAGTCTGATGCGAATGCAGGCAACAAGACACAATAAAGTAGTTCAGCTGTTTATTTTACAGGTGGAAATTTCTACATTTCAAGTAGAGGAACTAATGCCTTGTTCTTAAGTGAAGCTACTTCTCATCAGGTCCTTACTGCCTACCCTGCACGACACCAAAATGAAGAATCATCAGTGATAAGAAAAGATTAACGGTATAAGCAAAACTGCAGACACAATTTATCATAGGCATATTCCTCAGGGTTGATGTATGCGCCAGGATTTCCTAATACAAAATTTAATAGTACCCCGTATATGCTTGCATTTACATTTAAGGACCTAGCAGGTTCGTTGCTCTAGTGTTTTACCAAACAGATGGGCATGAGAATTTAAGGCCAAAAATTTAGTCCACTTCCGAGACATGTTGAAACTACAAATCTAACGGTGAACATACAAACTTCAAACCATCAGTAGGCAAGAGCTACAGGCATGATAAAGTTATATTCATAGGTGCTTCAATGTACAGCTTTATGGACAAATTGTGCAAATTTAAGCTTTATGGACAGAAGAAATCAATATTGGTCATCTTCAATCAAATACTCCCTCCATAAAGAAATATAAGAGCGTTTGGATTGTTACTTCAGTGATCTAAACGCTCTTATATTTCTTTACAGAGGGAGTACTTGTCTATAGTGCCAGTAAAAGTCATATGACAAAGGCTTTCATACCTGCCAGTTCCCTTGTTGTCCTTCACCTGGGCTAGGATACTGACCAGAAACCCCTTGCAAGTTATCTCCTCCATATGCAGGCGCTGCACCCTGTCTGTTGTCTCCACCATAACCAGGAGCCCCTTGGTTACCTCCAGGATATCTCGACCCAGACGGTTGCCCATAAGCTGGAGGTTCAGATGGCTTCCCATAGGATCCAGGAGCAGGCGGTTGACCGTAATTTCCAGGTGCAGGCGGTTGACCATAATTTCCAGGTGCAGGCGGTTGACCATAATTTCCAGGTGCAGGTGGTTGACCATAATTTCCAGGTGCAGGCGGTTGACCATAATTTCCAGGTGCTGAAGGGCCACCAGGCCTGAGATCTCCTTCCTGTCCTTGCGAGAAACTCCTGCGCTCTTGTGGATCTTGGAAACCTTGACCGGCTTCATTTACACGCCCTTGGTACCCACCAGGCGCATTGTAACCTGGACGGTCGGCGGAATCATTCCTCCCATAACCTCTACCATCTTGTCCAGCTTGTGTGTAATTCTGCTGTGGAGCGTAGCCTCTTACGTCTTGCTGTGGGCGGGACCCTTGGAAGTTTCCTTGTGGTGACCTGTTCTGGTAATTTCCGTGAGGTGGACTGTTCTGGTAATTACCTTGCGGTGGAGGACTGTTTTCGTAATTTCCACGATAGTTGCGGTTTCTATCATTCCTTGACAGTTTGCTATACTGAACAGGTGGTGGTCTTGGAGTTATGACACCATTCTCGTATTTGTCTCCTGTTGAAACCAATTCACACATACAGATAAGATCAGGGGCATATGAACTTACTAAACAGTACTTGATGAACAAGAATACAACAAACCTCCATACTCCTTTGTCTCTGGGTATAAATATGAATCAGGCAAGATAAAAACAACTCCAGGCAATCCTGATCAAAATGTAAAAAAAGAAGGTATTTAAATTTATAGAATAACAAACATTCCAAACAGAATATAAGTCTAGATATCACATCATCTCACCGCGAAACTTTTCTGACATTTCCTCAGTCATTACAGCTTGAAAACCAACATATGTTGTTGTACTAAGAGCATACATCCTCTTCTTAGCCTCCTCATAACTACAAGAAGCTAAGAGCTCAGCTAAATGTTGCAAATTATATTACATTGCTTACACATCAGTCAGAAGAAACATTAGCATCATAAATAAGGGCATGCCTTCACTAGATAATTTCAGAGACATCAATTTGATAAGCAACAGCTTTACAAATTCTAGGCAAGAGCAAGAGCAACGACTTAACCTTTTAAGAGCGGAAACAGAACCATCAAATATAGGGAACCATTCGCTAGCAGTATTCATTGGTGTAGAAACAGACCATTCGCTAACAGTGACCATCAAATTCAATGAATAAGAACATACTGCAGTAACTATGACAGATAAGGGATCCTTGAACTGAAAAGTACATTCAAAATACTAGATGTAGATCTCATAATGACTTAAGTTATATATTACCATAACATTATGAAAAATATTACCATTGCAATTCTCCAAAATCAAATTATTCTATATATCCCTTTATAACCAGTTAACTACTATTCTAATTTCATACAGAAGAAAGCAACAAAGCTGACAGCGCAAAACGACAAAGTACATATTAGTTTTGACGTCAATCTCGAGATGCTACTTCTGATATTTCTGCCTAGTGGCACACGTCTAGTTTAGTGGAGAGCCCTAACTAAAAAAGGCAGGATTAAATGTATGGTTGGATTATGGAAAATGCATGTCTTTACAGTCAGGAAATAATAAATAGCAGTGGATTTAAAATATCTTGAATACTTCAAATCACCACACATACAAAAATGCTCCAGACAGAATAATGTTACTTGACATAAGTGTGTCAAACTACTCCCTCCGTTCCATAATTCTTGTTTACTGAAGTCAAAAAATGTTGATGGCGCACACAAAAATTGCATCACTCACGACTAAACCACTGGAGCTATCGAGCATAGAAAATTTTCAAACGTTTTAGTCGCCATAAGTAGAACAAGGCACATTATCGCAAGAATCAAACTTTGTTGACATAATTCAGATCCATAGCCACCAAAATAAACATGACAGCCACCCTCAAAGCTATCACCCACTCACTTGAAAAAGCAACAAGCAGCTCAATGATTGCAGCAATTGCAACTACAGATTAGTATTGTAAACCTTTGTTAATAAAAAATTAATATGGAACGACAATCAAACTAACAGCACACCATATATCAGAACCAAATGAATACCACACATCCGCAGCGTTCAATCACGAGAAATCAAAGCGATCAGACTCACCCTTCTGAGATTGATTCGACACGAGACAAGTCCGATTCCTAACCGATTCACACATTTCTGATGAGAAACGAAATAAGACTAATTCGACACGAGGAAAAGTCCAATTCCTGATCGATTCACAGATTTCTGACGAGAAACGAAATAAGGGGGACTTCGTTATACCTTCCGACGACCTTGGCGAGGGTCTGCAGGTAGGTCTCGATCATCTCCTCGCGGGAGGGCTTGGGGTCGGGGAACTCCATGGTGATGAGCCAGTGGTTGTAGTCGCACCCCTCGAAGAGGATCTCGTCGGGGTCGATTTTGGCGTCGTCCGCCCCACCGCCGTAGTTACCCCGTGCCGCTGTCGCCGCCGTCGACCGGAAGCCGGCGGCGCCCCCGGGGAGGAACGGGCGCGGCAGCGGCGCGACGAAAGGGGCGAGGAGGGGGGCCCGATGGGGGGGTGCCGCGGCGGAGGCAGTCGGACGGAGGAGGGATGCGGAGGTGGAGGCGGCGGCGAGGGCCCGACGGAGGCGGAGCGCGAGGGCCATGGCGGGCTAGGGTTTTCGTGGGGGCCGCCGCGGATGGAGGCTTCTGGGGTTTAAGGGGGTTGTGTGAGATGGGAGCGGTATACGGAAATGAGCAGCAGGGGGACGCGGCATACGGGTGAACACGATCAACAAGGCCGCGTAGAGGGGCCTAGACGAATAAGAGAGAGCATCAGCAAAGTTGGGCCCAAAAAAATGTCTAACCAGTTTCGTTAAACGCTAAATTTTGTAATGACCCGGAAAAAAAAAGCTCAACTTCCCCTCTCACCATGGGAAAGATGGCTTTCTGTAGAAATGCCATATCAGCACGCCGCCAGCGGAGTCTGCCGCCACACACGACGACCATCGTCGTCACATCACCCACCCACCCGCTTGCCGTCGTCGCCCATTGTTCGTCGTCGTCGCGCCACTGCTAAAAAAACACTTTCAAAGGAAGTATTTAGGGGACTTGCTAAAGCACCTCACGGAAACCTCCCATGAATTATATGGACACCCCGTAAAAGTAATTTTCGGAAAAGTTTCTTTTGAACTTGTTGAAGAGTCTCTAAGTGCTTACTCCCTCCCGGTTTACTAAACCCCTCATGTTTGGGATCAAATTCTGATTATCCATACAACAAACAGAATATAAAGTGCATGCTACAAAAAGATACTACTGGATTTGCATTTGAAACTGGTTCCTTGCAATATTTTTTTTGTGATACATATTTCTTAGTCTATTAATTAAATTTATAGTCAAAGTTGTTGGGATACGTTGCATAGAAAACAAAAAATATTCCTACTCACACGGAAGATATATCCATGGAGGTGCATAGCAACGAAGTGTAGTCGAACTTCTTCGCGCTCCAACCAATCAAGTATCG